CCTTTCGCGAGGCATTTTGGGACAAGTAGGTGGAAGAAGAGGTCTATTTTCTTTATCTTGTCGTATTGGATAACCCTGAATGTGAGACATTTTCTTGATGCTATGCATATTGAGAAAAATGTATGTGAAACTCTATTTGGCACATTACTTAATATTCCTGGGAAGACTAAAGATGGAATAAATGCGAGGCTAGATATGGTTGAGATGGGGATAAGGGAGGAATTGACACCAGAGGATAAGGAAACTCATACATTTCTTCGTCCGACAGCTCACATGCTTTCTAGAAAAGAGAAAAGTAGCTTTTGTGAGTTTTTTGTTGCAGTAAAAGTGCTGAAAGGTTATTCTTCTAACATTAGTAACCTTGTTTCCTTGAAGGATTTGAAGTTAAAAGGTTTAAAATCTCATGACTGTCATGTGTTGATGGAAAACTTTATTCCAATGGCAATACGGGCTATTTTACCTGATAAGGTGCGAGTTATGATAACGAAGTTATGTTTCTTCTTTAAGTCTCTTTGCAACAAAGTGATTAATCCCAGTAAATTGCCCAGATTGCAAACCCGAATCATAGTTATGTTGAACTTGAAATGTATTTTCCTCTGGCCTTTTTTGACATCATGGTCTACCTAACTGTCTACTTAGTTAGAGAGGTCCAACTGTGTGACCCAGTGTATTTAAGATGGATGTACCCAGTTGAGCGTTACATGAAAATATTGAAAGGGTATGTGAAAAACGAGTCAGCCAGAGGGTTGTATCGTAGAACGATATATTTGTGAAAAGGCCACTGAATTTTGTACCCATTACTTAAAAAATGCAAGTGATATAGGGGTTCTAGTGTCTTGTCATGAGGGAAGGACAAATGGAGAAGGGATTATGGAAAAGAAAGTTGTAACTATTTCAAACCAACAGTGGGAGCAAGCACATCTATATGTATTACACAACTCTGAAGAGATTGAAGACTATGTGGACAAGCATATTGATGAGCTTAAGAGGAATAATCCCAATAAACTTGAAAGTTGGTACACCAAAACACACAATAAACAATTTACAACATGGTTGAGAGAGCACGTGCATGGCAAGTATACTATTGATCCTAATTCTGTTTCAAAAAAATTAAAGTTATTGGCAGATGGACCGAGCAAACATGTGATTTCTCTCACAAGCTACCTTATCAATGGGTTCAATTTCTATACTAAAAAGCAAGATGATCAGAGTAAATAGCAAAATAGTGGCATAACTCTTGTAGCTAATACGATGTTGATAGAACCCAATCTTTATATGGCTTTCTCAAGTGTTTTCTAATGTTTTGCAACAATTTTACCCTCATTATGCGTGCATTTATATCTATTTGATTACATTGTGTCATGCATTGCATTTTGCTGTTTAAGGGGTAAAAAGGGTCATTTTTCTCTTCTAAATTTTAATTGCCTTGATCTGTAATCAGTTGGTCTTTACAAAGCTCTTTGTTGTGATTTTCAGGTAATTGGAGAAGGACCCAAGAATCATGATGGAGCATGGATGGAGCCAAAATGTTACAAGGACCAAAACACAAAAGTTGGGAGTGTTCTGCCTCCCCAGGTCGCGACATGGACTCCTTAGGTCGTGACTGGATGCCTTTTAGTGAAATTATGTGTTTTGGACCCAAGTCAAGATGAGAGCTCTTTGTCTTCCCGAGTCGCGACATGGAACTTATCAGGTCGCGACCTAACCCCCTTGAGTCGCGATCTTACATTCCTGGGGTCGCGACCTGAGTGCGTTAAGTGAAGCTGTGCATTTTGGAATAGGTTTCTGATCTTCTATACCTAAGGGGGACAGCCACCACGAAAAGACACTCTTCTATTCTGCAGATTTGCACAAGGTTGAGCCACTATCATTTCCTCTCAAGTCTCTATTGATCCTATACCTAAAACTTCCATTTTCCTTTATCTCTTCATCATTTTCTGAAATTTTGGACCGATCAAACCATTCCAACACCCTTCTTATCCATTTTTCCTACTTCATTTTTAGCTTTAACCATGGCTGTTCATTCCTGGAGTGATTGCGATTGGTTTGAAGGCATGAGAGGCTAAACCCCTTAGCCTCTTGGTGATGGAGAACGAAGCTTGAGCTCAATGATCTAATCGGGGAGTTTTTTCTATAGTCTAAACCTTTGTTTAATGCTGTGTTGAATATTTCTAAATTTAGGAACTTTCTGCACTTGTATCAAACTTGGTTTAAGATTGTAAATCTGGTGTTTAGACTATTCTATTGTATTTGGATTGGATGATGTTAATGTTGATTAATCTATATAATATTTCAGTTTGAATCCTTGTGTTCAGTTTGATTTTCAGTGATTAATGTGATTAATCTGCGTGCTTGGTATTCTGTGTTTGTCGATTAACATTCAGAGGACATTTGCATTATCCGTTCATCTACACTCTAAGTGGTTTTCAGCAGTGTCTTAAGAGATGTTAATGAACTTCGATTAAAGTGAGTTTTCATTAATTAAGACATTGGACCCAAGTGATTACTTGGGCTTTTCTTCAGACTTAGAGGTTTTCTGAAACTCCCAATCATTCTAAAGAGCAGTGATAGCTAAGTTTTCATCATAAAGAGACTATTTAACCATAATTCCCTTTTAATCCAAAACATTTCTTCATTCATTTAAAATACCAAAAATAGTTAACTTTATGCATTTTACATTTGTTGCACAACCTTTAAAACAACTAGAACCCCCTTTTTACCCACTTAAATTTACAATGTTTTTGAAAACCAATTTAGACTAGGATTTCCAATAACAAGCTCCTCGAGAAGAACGACTGGTTGCATCCTATATTGTATTTTATCTGGTGCAACTCTCTTTCTTGATGATCCGAAAGGCGACAGTCCAGCCATTGATCAATGGCGTCATTGCCGGGGAACCACTGAATTGGTTCCCTAGTAATTGGTTTTCCTCACCATTGTGATTTGGGTCGATTCTCGTAGAGTTTTAGTTTTTAAACTTGAATCTTGCATTTCATAGCATCGAAAATTTTGAGAAATAAAACCAAATATCTTGTTTTTCTATACATTTGTATTTGCATTCTTGCATAGCATTTTGCATTTTATTCTAGCTTGATCCTAAGTGTTTTAGCCAATTGCTTGAAATTTTGAACTCTGTGCATAGTTGTTCAGCATCTGGTTTAAGTACTTAGTGATTTTTTCTCAAAGATTTTACGAAAGTAGCTCTCTGTGACTTTGCATCGCGACCTCATATATTTGGAGTCGTGACCTGACTTGTGGCTTGTGGCGACCTCAGCCTTCTATTATCCAGTGTTGCTCTTGGTTTGTTTAAGTCGCGACTTGGACTTTTGCAAGTCGCAACCTCAACTCCCTCTTCTTTCAAGGTTGCTTTTTGTTCATTGAAGTCGCGACCTGGATCACCCAAGTCACGACTTGATCTGGTTTTCCACTGAAAATTTTCCTAAGTGTCCAGACTTACTCTTTTTGTATAACTTTGCTTTCTGCACATACTTTGAGAGTGTATAGCACTTCATACACCTCAAAATCACTGAGCATTATTTGAAATCATTGAGTTTGCCTCAATTTTGAACTACACACTTAGTAAATACACGGTTTTGAACCTACCTCTTTCTTGAACTCTATCTATGCTTGAATTCTTGAGTAATTATGCATGCCTAGAGCACGTAGAGGCAGGAAGGTAGACACACAAGATCTCGTAGCCCGCTTATTTTATGAGACCTACCCCAGTCATCTAGTGAGAGTGAGGAAGTAGAAGAAGAAATTATAGCTGAAGTACCTCCTCATGGTCCAAACGGTGGGAAAAGGAATGGTAACCATAATAGACCAAATAATGGTGGTAATGAGGGGCAAGGAGAAAATAATGGCCAGAATAGGATTAATGAACAACCTAGGGGTAGAACCATTAAGGAACTAACTCAATCTGATGGGAACTTTGAACCTATGCCTGGTGCTTTTCCTACTTTCAATGCAAATTTTGAAATTAAAGGTCAATTGATTCACTCATTGCCTAAGTTCCATGGTCTTGCAGGAGAAAACCCATACTTGAAGGTTTTTTGCTTATCTTTGGAAGGTAAAGCTAAAAAATGGTACATGAACCTGCCATTCTACATGGATAATACTTATGAGTCATGGACCAGTTTGAAGAAAGCATTCTTGGATAAATACTTCCCCTCCATGAAGATTTCAGCCACCCGTAAGGAAATTTCAGCAGCTAAGCAAGAGCCATTTGAGACATTCTTTGAATTTTAGAGCAGATTTCAAGAGATGCTTACCCAATGTCCTAGCCATTAAATCCTTGAGGAGCACTTGGTATAGTATTTCTATAACGGTTTGTTGCCCTATGATGCCCAAGTCCTAGATGCTGCTACCAATGGTTCTGTGGAGAATATGGAACCACGAGCTGTATGGGAATTAATTAGAACTTTTGCCCTTAACCGCCAACATGTAAGCTCAAGGGATCTAAGGGATCACAAAGCTGAAAGAGATCCACTGTTAGTCAAGCTGCCCAAGATATGTCTAAGCTCGCCAATACTGTTGAGAGTCTCTATTCCAACAAGCCACAATCTCTTGCCTTAGTGGCTACAAGTTGTGAAGCTTATGATTCTCCGATGCATACTACTCCAAATTGCCCTGGGCCGGTAGAAGAGGTCAATGCAATGTACCAAGGAAGAGATGGGTAATATCAGAAGAGAGACCCCTACTCAAACACCTACAACCCTGGTTGGAGAGATCATCCAAATTTTAAATGGGGAGGAGAAGCAAATAGGCCCAATCAATTCCAAGGAAATCAGTTCCCCAACACTGGGGCCTGTTTAAGCAACTTTCAAGATTCCTCAAGAGCTGTAGTGACAACACCACCCAACACGATGGTGTCTCAACCACAAAGAGGAGATGACACTTCTCAACTTTTAAAGAGCATAGATGCTCAGATGACAAACATAGAGGGGCGAATGAAGAAAAGTGATGACAAGTTCGTCTCTATAACCACCATATTGTAAGGGATGCAGAAAGATAACTCAGATGTTCATAAGAAACTGGAGGAGCTCACTTTAAAGAACACTGATATCACCAGTCATTTGACCCAACTATCTAATGTGGTCAATGACATGCAAGCTAAGAGTGGGGATAGCATTCCTTGTAATACGGTGATCAATCCCAAAGCCCTTAATGCTATATTCTTAAAAAGTGGTAGAAAGGTCCACTTTGAGGATAAAAGGGTAGACAAAGATGCATTTGAGCGAGAAATAGAGAGTTCTTCACTCACCTCTATGAAGTTGGGAAAATCTGAAAGTTCCAAGGAGGAGGAACTTCTTAGGAGAAAGAGATCCCAAGAAAGTAAAGATGCACAAGAAGAGGAGAACCCTATGGAAGGGTCGAAATGTAAGGGTAAGCAGAGGAAAAACAAAGCAGGAACAAGCATGCATGGAGCCTTGAGCAATGAGGGTAAGAAGGTAAATCTCAATGAACTCCCTTTTCCTCAATCTTACTTGCAAGGTATGAAAATTGCTAATGAAAAACAAGATAACGATTTTCTTGAAACTTTTAGAAAAGCTGAAGTAAATATACCCTTGCTTGAACTGATTAAAAAGATCCCTAAAGGTGTGTTTGGGATCACAGTAAGGACCCCAAACTGACTTTTTCACCGGTAAAAGTAGCTTTTTGTTTACAAGAGATGTTTGGATTCACCGTGAAGAGAGATGGACTTTTTTTCAAAAGCTCCTGCCTTCAGCTTCTCCACTACGACTGGTAAAAAAAAAAAAAAAGCTTCTCCACTACACATTTCATGGGGCCCATGAGTGAGGGAGGAGAGAGAATGCATGATGTGAGTTCTTTTTTTTTTCTCTTTAAATCCAGCCAATTGGTTTTTAATATTAAAAAATTATTTTTTGAATAATAAAATCAATTTTTTAAAAATAAATTTATTATTCTTTAAAAAATAACTATTTTTATTTTTATTTTTATAATTTTAATTTTTCTCTGACAATTATCACATTATAAACATATAATATAAATATATACTATTTAATAAAATTCATGTCCTTTTAAGTTATTTTACATCCAAACTTACTTTTACATTTATCATCCAAACAAGTTTCAGCTTCTTAAACTGACTTTTTTCCAAACCCAATCCAAACATAAATCACATTACCCTATCTGACTTTTACTCAATCTGACTTCTGTAAAAGTCAGATTGAAAAAAAGTTACTTCTGCCACCGCTATCCCAAACACACCCTAAGTATGCCAAAGTTTTAAAAGAGTTGTGCACACATAAGATGAAGTTTAAACCTAATGAACGAGTCCAGTTGCCTCTAGTGTGTTTGCTTTGTTTAAACCACAACTCCTAATCAAATGTCATGACCTTGGTTCCTTTACTATACCTTGTACTGTAGGTAGGACAACTATTCCTAAGGCTTTACTTGATTTAGGTGCTGCCATTAATGTTATACCTCGGTCAATGTTTGAGTCCTTACAAATCAAAAGTCTTAAACCTACTACCATGATGCTCCAGTTAGATAGGACTGATAGGACCATGAGGTACCCACACGGCTTCTTAGAGGATATCCTAGTGAAAGTCAAAGACTTAGTTATCCCTGCTGATTTTTATGTCTTGGATATGCCTAATGAACAAGGTGGGGATGGGACCTTAATTTTGGGTAGAGCCTTTTTAAGAACTGCTAATACTAACATTGACATGCAAAAGGGGTCTATCACTATGTTTGTTGGGGATAAATTTGCTTATTTCAATATGTATGAACAAATGAAACAACCGCATGAAGATTACCCAATATGTGATGTTAATTTTGTTAATGGGTTGTTTATTGATTAGCCTCATAATGATAATAAAATGCATGTTTCATCCCCTACTCCTGACTCTGCTTCCCCCTTCCTCTCTAATGGTAGTGACGTGGGCTGTTCTACTGTTCATCAGTTAGATTTCACTTTTTCCACTCCATCTAGTTCTACTATTACTGATAGTATACTTAGGAAGTCTTCTACTAACCCCTTTGAGCCCGAGAAAGGCTTTGTTTCTGATGTCAATGCAGGTGGTAGTAGAGCTATAAAGACTTCTAAGAAGAAGAAGAAGCGCTTTAACCTTGTCGGGGAGCTGTATGCCCTGAATGTTGTGCATGGACCAGCTACAACTCTAGTTGCTCTCTACTCTGCCGTCTCTACACCCTTAACTAAGAAAACTAATCAAGAGACAGTGGTTACTTCCATGGAGAGTAAGAAAGTGGATTCTGAGGAAGAAAGCAAAGAGCCTACATCTCTCAGGCTCTTTTCTAAGGCAAAGAAGAAGAAAATTCCCTCCCCTCTCCATTGACCACTACACGGTCATTGATCTAGCCTATGAAGACCTTTTCCTATTAACTCCTAAGGAGGCTATGAAGATTGAAGCTGGTGCTGAGGTGTGGGGCCTGCTGTCTACTTATCAGATGCCAAAAGATGAGAAAAGGGCCAAATGGATTAGACGTTTTGAAGTTCATTCAACATGGGAGCATAGGAAGGTTGTAATGAGGGATGCTGAAGGTCGGTTCTTCCAAGTTAAAAAGGAGCACCTTTGTTTCTTCAAAGAGAGCTATCAGCACCCATGACACCTTAGGTCGCTTCTTTCCTTTACCTATCTTGTTCACCATGTTCTGCTTTGTTTTGACTGATTTGATTATTGCATGTGTTAGTGAGATAAGTATGGGGAAGAGAGCCGACCAATAGGAAAAGTAGTTTAGCTTATTTTAGGCTGTAGTTTTTCAATTCAATAATTTTCTCCTCTTGCTGTTCTTGTCTTATGTATGTCCTTCCTTGTGCTTAATTGTTTGCTTAGTCATGCAGTGAGGGCACTACCGTGCTTATGTATGGTTGGTGTTATTTGTTTTAATTATGGTGGCTGTTGTTCTTTTCCCTTTTCTATTGACAGTGAGGACACTGTCAAGTCTAAGTATGGGGGAGGAATTCATTTCGCTTTGTTGTATCATTTCTGTGGTTGTTTTAGAATTTTTGGCAAAAAATTTTTCAAAAATCCAATCTTTCATCATCATTATTTGGCTTTGAATTGATTGTAGATGGTGAATTGCTGTGAATTGGATCTTTTGATGCTTGCTGAAAGGGTTTTTACTTGTTAATTGTTGGCTATAGATTAAAATTTTTTGCGTTGGTAGTTTCTGTGACTTCAGGTCGTGACCTCACTGCTTCAGGTTGTGACTTGAAGAGTGACTGGCTAAGGAGGGCTCTCTGTGATCTTAGGTCATGACCTCATCCCCCTTTCCTAACTTGGTGCCTCTGTGTACCCAGGTCATGACCTCATTGTATTCAGGTCATGACCTAGACTCTTTTGTTGTGTACTGTTATCCTTCTCTCTGTTTTTTGGCATTGCTGTGTAGGAGAAACCTTTTTAAGCTACCTTTGCATCTTTTTCAAGCAAACCTTTGCCTATTTCATATACCCTCATTGCATCAAACAGTTTTTCTTGAAAACCGTGCCATCCTTGGACTTTTAAGCATACTGGATTTTGAACATGATTTTTCTGAAGATTTTATAGTCACTTTTGGGATTCAAGTATGTTCTAAAGTGATTATCTTGATCTTTTTAATCCTCATCTCATGGGTTGCTTTTCTAATAAGTGTCTTAATGCCTTGTGACTAGTGCATATTGATTGAAACTTCTTGTATGACCAATTGAGATGTGAAACCCTTGTTAGAAGAATATTCTTGAGCCTTGATTCCTATATTGAATGATTATTCATGTGGTTTACATTCTCTAGAACTTGTTTTAGCTCTTGGTCAAAATTACGTGTGCATTTATGATTTTGAATATGATGGAGGCATTCTTTTCTAAACCTTTCTACCCAAACACAACCCACAACCATTTATCCATTGCTTAACCATTTTTTGAGCCTGCACTTCCTTCATTTTGTCTACCATTTCAAGTGTTTTGAATAACGATGTTAATTGAGTTGAATCCGTCTCAACAATTACGATTTCCTAATCTTCATCGGTCTTAATTGGGAATTTTACTTTTATTTTAGTTTGAAAAAGAAGAGAAGAGAAGAAGAAGAAGAAACAGAGAAAAAAAACAGAAGAGTAAAGAAATACTCCTTATATATACATAAGCTATCACAACAAAATAAAGTTGAATAAAGTATTCCCTTGGTGATCGAAGGTTGGGATCTGAATTGCCTTGCCTAAAAATAGATATTATTTAACTCACATTTTTTTAATTCTTGACACTCGATTTCACCTTTTTCTATTCCATTTAGCCTTTCCATCACTATAACCCTAAAAGTCCTCTTGATTCTTTACATGGATGCTGAATAGTAGTGGAGATTTTAGGGTCATTACAAGCTTATGCTAGAATGTTTGCTACTTGGATAATTGAGAGAAAAGAACCCCAATGAGGAGAGATGAGCGATTCAAACACTTATACCTTGTGAGCAGATCTCTGTTGTTCATGCATTTTGAGTCAATTGCACCTTGTATCTGATTGCTTCGCATTGTTCATGTTATCATTCTTGTATTCCTAAAAACAGGCTGATTGATTAGCTCTTGAGATCACTTTTGAACATGCTAGTCTTTCTAATTGTAGCTGTACTTTCTTTAGAATGATTCAAATCTTTGTCCAGGAGTACAAAGGTTCAAGTGTGGGGGAGTAATAGAATCCAATCTTTATATGGTTTTCTCAAGTGTTTTCTAATGTTTTGTAACAATTTTACCCTCATTATGCGTGCATTTACATCCATTTGGTTACATTGAGTCATGCATTGCATTTTACTATTTAAGGGGTAAAAAGGGGTCATTTTTCTCTTCTAAATTTTAATTGCCTTGATCTGTAATCAGTTGATCTTTACAAAGCTCTTTGTTGTGATTTTCAGGCAATTAGAGAAGGACCCAAGAATCATGATGGAGCATGGATGGAGCCAAAATGTTACAAGGACCAAAACACAAAAGTTGGGAGTGTTCTACCTCCCCAGGTCGTGACATGGACTCCTTAGGTCGCGACCTGGATGCCTCTTAGTGAAATTATCAGGTCGTGACCTGACCCCCCTGAGTCGCGACCTTACATTCCTGGGGTCGCGACTTGAGTGCGTTAAGTGAAGCTATGCATTTTGGAATAGGTTTCTGAGCTTCTATACCTAAGGGGGACAGCCACCACGAAAAGACACTCTTCTATTGTGCAGATTTGCACAGGGTTGAGCCACTATCATTTCCTCTCAAGTCTCTATTGATCCTATACCTAAAACTTCCATTTTTCTTCATCTCTTCATCATTTTCTGAAATTTTGGACCGATCAAACCATTCCAACACCCTTCTTATCCATTTTTCCAACTTCATTTTTAGCTTTAACCATGGCTGTTCATTCCTGGAGCGATTGCGATTGGTTTGAAGGCATGAGAGGCTAAACCCCTTAGCCTCTTGGTGATGGAGAACGAAGCTTGAGCTCAATGATCTAATCAGGGAGTTTTTTCTATAGTCTAAACCTTTGTTTAATGCTGTGTTGAATATTTCTAGATTTAGGAACTTTCTGCACTTGTATCAAACTTGGTTTAAGATTGTAAATCTGGTGTTTAGACTATTCTATTGTATTTGATTGGATGATGTTAATGTTAATTAATCTATATTATATTTCAGTTTGAATCCTTGTGTTCAGTTTGATTTTCAGTGATTATTGTGATTAATCTGCGTGCTTGGTATTCTGTGTTTGTCGATTGACATCCAGAGGACATTTGCATCATCCGTTCATCTACACTCTAAGTGGTTTTCAGCAGTGTCTTAAGAGATGTTAATGAACTTTGATTAAAGTGAGTTTTCATTAATTAAGACATTGGACCCAAGTGATTACTTGGGCTTTTCTTTAGACTTAGAGGTTTTCTAAAACTCCCAATCATTCTAAAGAGCAGTGATAGCTGAGTTTTCATCATAAAGAGACTGTTTAACCATAATTGCCTTTTAATCCAAAACATTTCTTCATTCATTTAAAATACCAAAAATAGTTAACTTTCTGCATTTTACATTTGTTGCACTGTCTTTAAAACAACTAAAACCCCCTTTTTACCCACTCAAATTTACATTGTTTTTGAAAACCAATTTAGACTAGGATTTCTAATAATAAGCTCCTCGAGAAGAACGACTGGTTGCATCCTATATTGTATTTTATCTGGTGCAACTCTCTTTTTTGATGATTCGGAAGGCGATAGTCTGGCCATCGATCCAATGCATATATTGAGTGCCAAAGATAAAAATCCTATCTATGCACGTATGTCATACTTTGGGGTGATTGAGGATATTTGGGAGTTGGATTACATTGAATTCAGAGTTCTGGTATTTGGTTGCAAGTAGGTGGACAATAATAATACATTGAGAATTGATGACTTAGGGTTCATACAATTGAATTTGAATAAGGAAGGATACAAGGAAGAGCCTTTCATTTTGGCTTCTTAGGCTACACAAGTTTTCTATGTCTCAGACCCGACTACTAAAGGATGGTCTATTGTTTTGTTGACCAATAAAATGAATGAGGAGACGGGGTATGAAGACAATGCAGTTGAAGATTATCCATTTCAAGGGACATCAGTTGAATCTCATTTAAATAAAGATGAATCCAAGTACATCAGGCACGATCACAATGACGGAATTTGGATTTCAAAGAGGGGGAAAGTGTTTCGCAAGAAGATCAAAACAATTCAAACCAAGAAGAATATACAAAAACCTAAGAGTAGAAAAAGGAAAAGATTTACTTAAACATGCATGTAAATTCTCTTATTATTCTTGATGGAAAACTTTGTTTGTTTTAATTTTGTTTAAGTTAATTTCGTTATTAATAACTTTATTTTCATTA